TACCATCATAGCCAGTCTGTGCATTTATCCTTTGGCCAAAAAATTCTATTTGCTCTTAAACTATAATAATTTGTTTGTATTTCTACTGGCTAGGTTTTGCATTTTTACAAAATGCAAACAATACAACTATAAACAAAGCTGTTTAGGCTTACAATAGAGAATCATAGATAATCTACAAAAGCCAGCTCCCAACATTACAGCTACAAAAACTTACTTAGTTAAGAACCGATTTAAAACATTTATATTTGTTTTCCAAAAGGAATAGGGAGGTTTTTTTGGTTTTTTTTTTTTACTGTTCCAAAATGGGGCCAAACCAGTAACCTGGCCAGCAGAACACCAATTCCAGTTGGCACTTTACGCTTCAGTTGGAGTATGGCATGGCTAATGACTGACACTGGGATGAAAATGTTCAAGTAAGCACAACTTTATATTCTGCAGAGAAAGGAAGGGAAAATGTGCTCAATTCACTGACCTCATCATTCTCTAAGAAAATGTGTCAGCTACAATCTTTCCTCCTCCAGCATATTCTGTAGCAACATGAAGAACAAGTCTGAGTTCTAGAAAAAATGGTTCCTTAATATTTTTAAATTTCTCCTCTCATTTGTCTCTCACTTCTTCTCTCCCTTTTGTTTTTTTTCTTTTAAGTTCCCATAAATGGTTTTCCTAGTTTCCTCAATGAATGGGACTTAATCCTTCGCATTTACTTGTTTTTCTGTGCTTTTCGGTACTCAAGGAACACTGGCAACTATTTCTCCTAGCACAAATCCCTTGAAAGTGTATTTAAAGTGTGTCACTAAGTATGCAAATTATGTTAATTTTGCAGAGTTAGCTAGACACATTCACCAATTAGAAAGTTGAATTAATTGGAACATTTATCAGGACAGTTCAAAAGGGAATTGAATAGATGATGGTTTGATCCAGGAACTGGAGATACATTCCAAATACCTCATTCTGGGAATTCTCCCAACAGTATTTGGTTGCTTTTCATACTTTTAATTAGCTTGCTGTGTAATTAAATAGGTAGGCATTACATTCTGCAGCTTCAGTTTAGAAATAGTGCAGCTCATGAAAAGTATAAATCTAGAGTCGTTTTTGTATGTGGGCTTACCAGCCATATTAAAACAAGCTCGATAGATTTTTTAACTCCCATTAAAAAAATGTAATATCTAAATTATTGGCCTTCTCTGTTGTGGCGTCTTAGATTAGGATTGTTTGGGGGAGTGTTTGATAAATGTGTCTCAAAGGCAGTTGTTTTGAAAGACTATAATACTGCATGTCTATGTACTGATTCCTTGACATAAAAGAGGTGATTGCCCAAAACTCTCAATGTGTAACTGAATTAAAAAAAAAAAAAAGTTAGTTGTTTAAGCCTGGCCATTATTATGAGTCAGCAAATAGGAAATAATTAAAACATGGGGTTGTTACTAGTAACCAAGCAGGAAATAAATGAATTCCAAGTTGTTGCAGTTTGTAACTGGCTCCGTTTTTACGGCACACACTCTCCTTTCTTCTTTCATAGAACATGTGCTTATTTTACCAAAAAAAAAAAAAAAAAAATTAAAAGTGAATTTTAATTAATTCTCAATTTATGATTTAGGCAAAAAAGTATGACAAACTTAATATCATTGGACATGCTTGATTGACACAAAACCAGGAACCTCTACAAATAAATAGTTGGAGACCTATAATAAGTAGCATGGAGTCCCTGGGAAGGCCAATGGTTAATGTACACAGTTGTTAACTGAAAGGTTGGAAGTTCAAGTCCATCCTGAGTTGTCTTGGAAGAAAGTTCTTGTGATCTACTTCCCAAAAAACATTCATTGAATACTTCTGTGGCGCACACTTCTACTCTGGCATATGTGAGTTCACAAAGAGTCAGAAATTACTTTATAGCAACTAGTTAAAAAATAAGTACTATGACATTTATTTTGCATAGCTATGGTGATCTTTTCAAATATGTTGCTTTCTAATGTCTAAATTTTGTAGAAACGTTTCTCTTCTTAATTCTATGTTGCAGAATTTTCCTTAATTACATTACTAAAATCCCAGGCAAGAGTTCTTTTATATATGCTAATTAAGGAGCTCTGGTAGCGTAGTGGTTATGAATCTGGCTGCTAACTTCAAGGTAAGCAGTTCGAAACTATCAGCTGTTCCGCTGGAGAAAGATGAGGAGTTCTGTTCCCATAAAGATTTACAGCCTCGGAAACCCTGTGCAGCGTCACTACGAGTCAGAACCGACTCCACAGTACTTAACAACAACAACAATTAATGATCAACCTGGATTTGTTCACCCTTAATTTGTTTTCAACTTTTTCCATTATTCTTGGATGTTGTATTCTATGCTGCTGCATATTGATTAAATGTAATACTGAGTCTGTTCTAAATATTAGAATTGCAGAGCTTAGGTTTTCTTTATAGACCACTTAATACTGGTCAGAATTCAAGGACACTAAGCATTTCTGGGTTTGACTTTCAGTGCCAAATTGAATTTGTGTGACTGTAGCCTAAAAAATATTTGTACGTGATTAAAGCCTTGTGTGTCGACTAAATGAATCATCTGACACAAGCTATCAGGGTTACTGGTTTATGAATGGACTTTGACTGCAGTAAGTGTAAAGTGGCTCTGATCAGAAACATGACAGGGAGCATATTAAAGTCCACAAGATTCTGTTGAAGGGCAGCCTGGCCATCTCATGAATTTCTCTTCACTGACCCATTCACCCTACTGTATTCTCATAGTTTCAAATACAAAGGAAAACAATCAACAACACAAATGGACTACTGCGTAGTATATTAAGAGCCCTGATGGCACAGTGGATAGAGCATTGAGCTGCTAACCGAAAAGTCAGTGGTTTGAATCCAACCACCACTCTGTAAGATAGAGATGAGGCAATCTGCTTCTGTAAAGATTTACAGCCTCAGAAACCTACAGAGCAGTTCTTCTCTGTCCTATAGCATTGCTATGTTGTTGTTACATGCTGTAGATTTGACTCTGGGTCATAGCGTCCCTATGCGCAACAGAAAAAAAAGCACTGCCCAATCCTTTGCCATCCTCACAATTGTGTTTGAGCCTATTGCTGCTGCCATCGTGTCAGTCCATCTTGTTGGAGGTCTTCCTCTTTTTCGCTGACCCTTCGCTTTACCAAGCATGATGTTTGGTTCCTCCTGATAACATGTCCAAAGTACGAGAGACGAAGTCATAGCCATCCTGGCCTCTAAGGAGCATTCTAGTTGTACTTCTTCCAACACAGATTTGTTTGTTGTTTTAGCAATCCATGGTACATTTACTATTCTTCTCTAGCACCATAATTCAAATGTGTCAATATCATGGGTGGCTATGAATTGGAATCAATTTGATGGCAGTAGTTTATATAATAATTTAAAAGTTACTATCTATATGAGCCGTATAAACCATGAGTCTGCTTTAATTCTGCTTTCCTCTCATATGAAAAGCAGAGGGAGGGAGGAACAAGTACCTTGGAACACTTCGTGAGGGTATCAATGAGATCATTAATGTAGAGTTGTTGTTGCTAAGGACCATCGAGTCAGCTTAGACTCATAGCAACCATGTGTAGGGTTTCCAAACTTCTGTTGTGGCACTGCAGGTAAGCACTGGACTGTGAACCACAAGATCAGCTATTCAAACCCACCAGCTGTTCCTCAGAAGCCCTAGACATGGTCGTGATAAGCCAGAAAACACTAGACAGCACTTAACAATAACATCAACAACAGGATCACTCCGAGTCAGAACCAGCTACATGGAGATGGTTTGGGTTTGGAAGATTATCTTCCATCTAGAATGTAAGACCTTTCCAACTTCCAGGTTTTCTTTGCTTTTGAGGTTTGTTTTATTTTACGTAATAACATATCATTAGGTTTTTTAGATTGCCAATATAATTTAACCATTTAAAGCAAAAGTTACTCTTTTCATCAGTAATGCTTAAGAATAAAAACAAGCAAGATCTAGTAAGAGTAAACTGAAATTAACTAGTTGCTTCCCCAAATGGTAAACGATGACTACTTAAGGTGGCATGCAAGTAAACCATAGAGGTACAAGAAACAAATGTAAGAACTGCTATTTAATTTTATGTAATACTTTTACATTTCTATTTTATCTGCTTAATCATAAACATAATTGATAAGATTATATTTTATAAGTCATTTATTGGAGGAAGTTGCTGCTTATAAACAAATTTTACAGTGTATAATCAAAAAAGTTCAAAGACCACTTCTTTAAACATTAAGTGAAAGAGATCTTTCTACATTTTGAGTTCATTTATCAAAAGGAAAATATGCTATAGTAAAGGAAAAATATATATTTTAGCTTATATTTTATATTTTTTAAAAATTAAATAGCTTTCTAATATATTTCGGATCACTCCTATATTGTTTTAGGAGCTTAAGCTACTTTTTCTAATTTTAGTTTGTCCTTTCATGCTGTCCATACCGGTTAATACTTAAAAGAGGAAGTTCTGATCTGTCCTGTGGGGTTGCTCTGCACTGGTTTTGGGTTTAGAGTAGCTACAGAGGAACAAAGAGTAATGTGTTTACTAATGTGCTAGGAAATCATTCCTTCAGTACTTCACACATAACAGGAATATTTGTTGGCTGTTACTTCATCATTATGTTAATGACTGCAATTAGATAATTGAGCATATAATCATTTCAAGGGTTAATGTGTAATATATGACCACTTGGATTGGGCTTGCTGTAGAGTAAGGTAGTATAAAGTTTCCTACGGAAAGTGTGCCGTGAGTCATTTTTGCCTCAGGCCTAATCTTGAAAGAAACTTCTCTTGATGGTCTCTCTTGAAGGAATTGGCCTTGGTTAGGTAAGCACTTTCCAAGGGTGTGTTTTACTCACTGTATTCCATGGTGATATTAACTGTAGTTAATGCATCATTACAAAACTTGCTACAGGTAGGACAGAGCTTTCGTAAAATGAACATGTTTTACTAGTAACAGCAATGTTCATTAATTAAAAATTTATTTTCCTTCTAGTTCACAGGACGATGAAAGACCTATGTCACCTTTCTATTTGAGGTATTTATTTGATTTTTGTGGGTCCCTTACAGGGAGATGGAGGAGGGTTATGTCTGCTGTGAGTTTGTTTCTTTGTTTGAATCCTTTTTATTAGAATATTCTACACTGTGGCTAGTCTAAACTTATTAGAGCCTCTCAACAGATTTCTTCTTCATGTTGTAGTTTCCCCTCTTTGTTCTAAGAAAACTTTTTAAAAAATGAACATAGTTGAAAAGGTTAAAAGGTGTTTTTTGTTTTGTTTTTGTTTTTCAGGCATTTTTACAATTATTCCTCATAAAAGTCAAGATGGTCATTTTAATTTCAAAAATTGACAATAATTAGGCTGCAACCTAAAATAAAAATCTAAAGGAGGCTTAGGTTATGTTAGGAAATTTTTTATCTTTTTTTTATGCAGTAAGAGTATGAAACTAAATATTAACAAACTTAAGGAATTGAGTCGTATTCTCTATCTAAAGCCTGTTAAGCTAGAATTGTTGTTAAGGGCCATTGAGTTGGTTCCAACTCGTAGTAACCCTATATAGGGTTTCTGACAGTGGCTGGTGGGTTTAAACTGCCCACCTTGCGACTTATAGTCCAGTGCTTATCCTATAGCACCACACCAGGGCCCACATAAGCTAGAATTGTTGTTGTTGTTGTTATGTGCCATGGAGTCGGTTCCGACTCCTAGTGACCCTGTACAGGGTTTGCTAGGCTGTAAATCTTTATGGGAGCAGAAAGCCTCGTCTTTCTCCCACAGAACAGCTGGTAGTTTCGAACTGCTGACCTTGCGGTTCGCAGCCCAATTCATAACCACTATGCTACCAGAGCTCCTTTAAGCTAGAATGTTGTTGTTGTTGTTATGTGCCGTGGAGTCGGTTCCGACTCATAGTGACCCTGTACAGGGTTTGCTAGGCTGTAAATCTTTACAGGAGCAGAAAAGAATAGCAGGTATTAATTATAACAGGTAAGTTTATAGAATTCAAAGTAAATAGTAGGAGAGATCACTTCTCATTTCAATAGCCTGTATTTCCAGTGATTAAACACTTCTGTACTGATGTGAGTTTTCAATCTGATTTAGATATACAGCCTGAAACAACAGTTTTCTTATGTCCACAATACGTACTCACTTCAAAAGTTTAGAAAATACATTTCAAAGTGTTATAGCCATGCAAATTAAAGTAAGCTATGCTCAAATATTTTTGTTTTACCATTTCCTAGCTTTGAAATCTACTGCTTTGTAAAAGACAAGTCAAAATATAAAATATAATACCTAATTTGATTGTAGAATTATTTTTGAATCTGATTTGTTGCTATGTTCCCAGAGTTAGATTTAGACTCCATTTCAACCACAGGTAGTTGAGAAATGTATTATAGGACTTCTGGCTTAAAAAGCTTTTCAGTGTGTTCTGTCCCTTAGTGACATGAAGCATATTGCATAATCACTTTGTGGCAAAAGAGGGAACATTTGAGGTTTCAATTTGAGACAACATGGTGGTTCATTTTATTCATCTTGGTTTCCTGCCAACCAAATCAGCATATTCTGGTTCATAGGCTGTCTCAACTATGCAATTACAGTGAGCACATGAAGATGTTGTTGCTGAGTACATAGTAACTCTGGTAATCATTAAATAAATACACACAGTAATATCAAACAAATGACTATTAGATACTGTGGGTGCTGTTTTGTTGTGAAGTGCCATCAAGTTGGTTCCAACTCTTAGTGACCCTATATAAGGTTTCCGAGGAGCAACTGGTGAGCTTGAACCACCAACCTTGTAACTCAAACCCATCTTGTAGTCTAGTACTAACCCACAGTGCTACGCCAGGACTCCTATTATATACTAGCTATTACGATATACCATGGAGTCCTGGTGTGACACTGTGTAAGCACTGGACTGCTAACGACAAGATTGGCTGTTCAAATCCACCAGCAACTCCTGGGAAACCCTATACAGGGTCACTATGAGTCAAAACCAATTCAGCCGCACTACACAACAAAGTAGCTTTTTGTGTGTTTTTTTTTTTAACACAACCTTCATTAAGAGCAAGTAAATTCTTAAATGAAGTGATTGGCAATTGGTAAATGATTCCATTCCAAACCAGAACTATAGAATTCTCTATAATGTATTCAGGACATGGAGACTGGTCAAGTTTTTCTCCAGGGGAGGAAAGCCTCAATCAAAAGATGAGACACCCAGCCACAAGTACTCAGGGGGGCAGTAATGGAGTCCCGAGCAGATGAGCATGGACTAACTCATCAGTTTGGTGGCTGATTCTGAAAGGTCCAGCATGAGGTAGAATGACAAAGCACAGTGACTGCAAGTCTGGGTGTGGGCAGGTTTCACTAAGAAGATATCAGACCCCAGAGAGGATAAGAACAAATCAGGGTTCCTATGCTAGAGGAAGAAAAGTCCATGATCCCTAAAGGAACTTGGGATATAGGAAGATCACTCGTGGATTCAATATTGGAATGGAGGCATAAGACAAGATGGATTGTTTATAATGAGAAGGCAGAACCTTCATCTGGGGTAAGGGATGGAAAAGGAGAGCATTCCGAGAGACCAAGTTATAATAGTAGAGGTCCCTCCCAGGGCCTAATTGAAGGAGCTTTGGTAGCGTAGTGGTTAC